TCCCACATACAGCAACTAGCAGGATGTGCAGCTATGACATACAACTATCTACTGGGGCTTTGGGGGAAAATTAAATAAATTTTAAAAAAATTTAAAAAAAAAAAAATTCAAACACCGTGCATCAGAACTACCAGTGTTTCTTCTGAAGACTGATTACTTAGTGACTACCATTTAGAAATTGATAAAAAAGAAAAGCAAATATTTTATTTCTATAATTTAATAAGAACGAGTTAGCAGCAAAAAAGATTTATATATAAATTTGTACTTTTTACACTATCCATATGCAAAACATATTTAAGTCTGAATTGTAAGTTTGACTTCCTCATGTTAAGCGGATTGAAAGTCCACTTAATTTGTTTCTCACATACATTTCACACTTGTAGCTAAGGTAGTTCAAAATTTTAACCATATTTGCTTAAACTTTTAAAATATAGATTTGTTCTTGAAAAATACATTCAAAACAGAAGTTGGAGTAAATAAAATTATTTTTGCTTTTAGAGATGAATATTATCTTGCTAACATCACATGATTTTTTGCAAACTGAAGGTTGTTCACCTCTCCAGAACTTCACAGGTAGTTGCTTTAATTAGAGCTGATAAAGAAATGAATCATTCAGATTTCTGATATGGTTATAAAATTTAAAATATCAGCAATAAATTAAAGGTGATTAATAACTACTTCTTAAGTACCTTTGTAACATATCTAAAACCTTTGTATATGAAGAATATATATTAAACAATAAACAAATTTTGCAGAGAAAAAGGTTAACGCTAGATCATGTTTTAAATTAGGCTAAAATTCATCCCACTACAAATTTCAAACGATTAAGTTTATAGTCTGTGCTCAATCATAAATTTTGATAAAGGACTAGAATAGCACAGATAATTGTCATTCAAAGACACTTTAAAATGTCACCTTACACAGAGGATTCAATCTCTTCTCTTCTACTACCCCAAGCTGATACACTAATTTTATATACAATAAGTTTTACTGCTTTTTATCTGCCCTCCCTAACTTCTCACAGCAAGTATAATAAGTTTGAAATAAATTTAAATGCAAATAAGTGCTCAGAAAAAAAGCAGAATCTGCTTAATGAGATTTAGTCCTTTAGGCCCCAATATCATAATCATCCCTCTTGCCCCCATCCCTCTTAATCTTACCCTCTCATGGACATCCCTCTAGCACTTCTCCCCTCATTCTCAAGAAGCATCAATTTTTCCCTCCTTACTGGATCCTTTTGTTTCTTCTATTTTAAAAAAAAAAGCCTCCCTTGACTCCGTATCCCTCTCTAGTTATTGTCCCATGACTATGCTCCCACTGACAGCAAAACTCCCTAAAAGAGTTAACCACACTCACGGTCTCTAGTTCCTCTCCTCTCCTTCTCTACTGCACCCACTCCATCAGGGCTTTTCCTCCTTCCATTCTTGTTGAGAGCACGAATGACCTCCCTATTGCTGCATCTAATAGGAAAGTCTCAGCCCTCACTTCCTTGCTCCATCAGTATTATTTGACCCAGCTGATGGGTCTTGAAACCCTTTCTTCTCCTGACTTCCAGGACACCACCTGCTCTTAATTTTCCTCCTAATCTCTCTGGCCACTCTTCCGGGTTTCTTTTCCTGGTTCCTTCTCATCTCTCAAGACCTCAAAATGTTGAACTGCCCCATGGCTCAGTTCTTGGAACTCTTCTCGTTAGGTAACCTCACCCAGTCTCATGGCTAAAAAAGGATCTGTACATTGGTGACTCCCAACCTTTTATCGCTAGCCCAGACCTTTCCTCTGAATTCCAAACTCACATACCCAACTGCCCACTCAACACTTGTCAAATAGGTTTCTCAAGCTCAACAAATCCAAAACTAAACTCTTGACTACCTATCCCTCACCCTCCTCCTCAGACATCCCCATGTCAATAAATGGCAACTCCATCGCTT